CGCCAACACTTATCTTTTAACATGAAAAAAATGAAAATGCCAAATGATTACTATCAAAATAAACATTTTAGTGAGGACAGTTGAACCCAATTATCGACCAAGAAGAATGTAAATATGAGAACTAATAAATTTATTTTTATATAAATATACTACATTTTCAGTTAATGATGGTGATTAAATTTTTTATCTCTTTCTCATTTCACTCTTTAACTCTTCTACCTCAACCACATTTCAAAAAGATGTTGATATTAATATACCTAAATCACCCAATCATCATTATATTCCATAGTAATATAAAATAATATAAAGTGTGGTTAATTTATTGACAGTGTCTTCTCTTAGAAGAAAGTGTGTGTTGAACAATTGGTGAGTCGCATTAAATTTTTTTCTTGAAAAGTCTTCGAGGCACTCTTGTACCATGGAAGGGTTAGTTGAACTATATTTGTGCTTTTTCATTGAGATTTTGCATGCATTTCTCTTCAGGGCATTTCTTTCAACAATGTTTCGCTGTCAAGTTAGAACTTTGTTTTAATGATTGTACTGGTTGTTTCGTAAGTCATAATCTTTTCCATTTTTTTGTTTAGGCCATGTCTCTTTAAGTTATTCTCTTAATTCCAAATGGATTAAGGTATAATCTATTATATATAGAACTCAATTAATACACTATTAAATTTAAAGTTTAACCTAATGATTAGGTATCATACTAATCTCTATTAACCTAATGATTAGGTATCATACTAATCTCTATCTTTAACTAGGGTGAGATTTAAAATTTTCCAATATATAATTTCACATCTGACACTATTGAATTTGTTGCAGTAGCATGTCACTCAATTGATTGAGAGTAATATCATATTAAACTTAGAATTTGACAAAATTCATGTTATATATATACCATATAAAACTTTGTCTTTAATCAATGTTTCCTAATATATCCCATTAATATTAAATGCTACAATCAATATACTCAAATATAGTTTAATCTAACTCATCATTATATATTATATTAAATATAAAAATTAACATAATTATTCACCTGTTGGTAGGCACCGGTGGGTGTAGTGAACAGGGACTCTTGCCCATGAAAGACTAAGAAAATATTTTAAAATATTCAATAATTTATATTTTACTTCAATACAAAATAGTTGTTTTCATTGTAAATTAACCTTTTATGAAAATAAATATGCAAATTATAAATATTTTCACGTCAGGTCAAAGGTCAAGAGTACGAGACTCATTTATTTTACATGCTCTATCAAATTCAAGGTATAAATACTTTCATAAAAAAATTTTAGGTGCACAATCTTTAATCTCCATTTTTATTACGGTTATGTCAAATTTTAAACTGACTTGGACGTTGGAGTGCTAACGTACAGGTATCCTCCTAGATCCACCATATATGAGATTAGCAACGTCAATTCAAGATCGGCGCTGATCAATAATGTTGATTCAAGATCAACATTCGTGATTCAAGGAGCATCATGATAGCAACCTTTGATCTACGGTGACGCATCGCGAAATCGTCGAGGACGCATAGTTCTTCAGCTCCTTATATGACTTCATCCATTTTTGGTTTCAAAATGGAACAGTGGCGCCGTCTCTGAGAAATGACTTCAGATTTTTGCGATTTACAATGTTTGATTCTCATATCTTAAATCCAAAAGCATTTGAGATGAAGAAATCAAAATCTCAAGAAGCCAAAATCTCAAATCTACACCATTTGATTCCAATAAGCTCCTTTTTGACTCTGATCGAACAATTATATATATCCAAAAACACTGCAAATTGACGATGGTGGACATCCTGAAATCGAGATCCATTTTTGCAATATTTCGGTCAATCAGAGGTATTGGCTTCAAGCACTTGGGAAAGTCGGTTGGTGAACACCCTTAGATCTAGATTCAGATTCGCATAATCAAAATCAAGTACATCTTACCCGGCCTCCAGCCAAACGAGTATTCTGAGGTCATCGTCAACCGAGTGTTCCTTCATCTGACCAACGTCGGATATCTCAGCATCATAAATACCCTTTGCCGGCCACTTCACCGTCGCGGAGAATGAGGTTATGAAGTTGGTTGACATTTGGTGCTTGAAGGCGAGTAACTCAAGGGACCAGGCCTCAATCCTTGTACGAGAACCGATGTAAAAAATAGAAGGTCTGGGATTCTAAACGCCGACATGTAGGCAAAAGGTTGGACACATTCCCAATGGGAGGCATAGCGCACGACCTTAGAAATAACTTCTAAATATGGAAAGGCGTCATACCATAAAGGAACCCCACTCAACACCCTCGATCGGTTCTTTAACAAGCACCAGACTGGCCCTCTCAAGTCAACCAAGCATCCCGGATGTATAAAAGGATATTTGACCCTAAAAGGTTAGTCTAGTATGAAGCCAGGGAGCTAAGTGGGATGCATCCAACAAATGTTGGACAGTTGGACTTGTCCATCAAAAACTGGTAATCTCTTAGGCCTAAGACTCGGTCTTCCATACCAGACAAATATCGAGTCACCCAAACAACACATTCGAGGACGAGCGATCAGCACACACTTGCGGTCGGCCGCAAGATTTAAATAGTGTATTTGTAAATCAATTATATAATAGTGAAATAAAACAAATATAATGATGAAAGTGAATATGACAAGAACTTCAAGCTCAAGGTCCTCCTATAATGAGCAAAGTGATGGTGAAAGTGAATATGACAAGAACTCATGATGATGATATGAGGTTGTTTGTGAAAAGATATCATAGGTATATAAGGAATAATGAAGTTAGAGATTCCGACAAGAATCTAGTCAAATTTAGAAGGCTAACAAACTCTTCAAGGAATGATTAGGATAGGAAAGGTAAACTTCGAAGATCTTGTTATCATTGTGGGAAAGTCGACGACTATAGACCGGAGTGTCCTATAAGAAAGAATATAAAGAGATGAGCCATCATAAGAAATCTAGCAAGTCTAGAGGAGCTTATGCCGCTTGGGAGAGTGCAAGTGATTCCTCTAGTGATGAATGCACAACTTTAAGTGTAGAATCGACTCGGATTTTCCTCATGGCAAATAGAAAGAATAAGAAATAATGTAAGTCTTTCTAAGCTTGAATCTATTAATGATTTATCCTATTTTCAATTACAAAAGGCCTTTGAAGATCTTCATAGAGAAGCCTTAAGAGCTTTTAATAAGTTAGCTTCACATGAAAAGGTCTTTTTAAAACTAGAAGCTAAATTTTTAGAATCTGAAAGGAAGTTATAAGCTATTAAGATATATATGATAGATATTCAAAGTGACAAGAATGAGGATGTAAAATCTTCTAGGTTTGGTTGTGAACATTGTCACATTTGGTAAGAGGAGGTAAAAACTCTTCATGTTAAATTGGATGAAGCCTTACAACTTAAGATTGCTCTTGTTGTTGATTCCTCAAAAACTGGAAAAATATTTGAAGCATTTAAATAAAAGGCATAAATTTGTGCAATCTCATCACAACCTATCTTGTCATTATTGTTGCAAGAAAGGTCATACTATTGAAAAATGCAAATTCAAGAGACTTTTTATCCCTAAAGGAGCTGTTTAATGGTTGCCCAAATGCAACTTTGATTTCACTCACTCAAGTATCCAATGAAGATTTCAGTTACCGAAAATTTCAATTACATGCAAAATTTCAGGTATATCATAAATTTCTAAATTTCCAAAGGTTTTTGTTGGTTAACGAAAATTTTGAAGATTTACAGTATAAGATATGGGATATTTTCAAATTTCTGGTATTCTGTATCGGATTTTTTCAAATTTCCGATATAAAAATGTAAATTTTTAAATATGGAAAAATAACGTACCAGAAATTTCAAATATACTATTAAAAATTTTGAATTCTGAGATTAAAAAAAAAGTGAAAATTTTTAGAATAGTACAATTTTTAGGTATATATTAGCAAAAGTATTTTAGAAATATTGAAAGTATGGTGGATTAAACTTTCAAATATTAAAGGTAAACTCTTTCTATTTTAATAAACATTGACAAAGTTTTATTTCTAAAAAATGGAAATTACAAACAAAAAATGGTGTGAATGATAAGTTACAAGTCAATCTTTAAAAAAAAAAATCAACAGGTAAAGTTTAGTATTTTAATATAATAAAATATTAGATTTGCATGATAAACATGCAAATTTTATATACATATTGAATTTAATAATTGTGCCCGTGTGTGATTGAGAGTCCTTATGACTCAAATATGTTTATATTACACATAATACATACTATATGTTAGAAAAAACCTTAAGTTTTTGTGAGGGCGTGGCCTACACATTGCTACATGTAGATCCATCCCTGGCTGCCATTCTAAGTAATTTTTTAAAACAAATATTAATGTATACTTGCAAAAACTTCAAATTTTAATATATAAAACTGTATATAATTTTTTTTTTGACTTGGGCTCTAGCGTGAGACTCGAATTTTTCTCAATAGTATCCATTGTATTCTTTTATCTAAACATATTTATTTTTCATTAAAAAAAAAATAGAGATGAATCATACCTCCTAAATATAGGATCTAGAAGTGTTAAATTTGAAAATTTTCAAGTGAATGATCAACACCTCCGGACAAAATTCCATCTGGACTGTATGATCCAAAGAGGGTCATGAAAAATTATGTATTGGGTCCTAGTGGACCGCTACCAGTCAATTGCAGCAATCATATTTTTACAGCAAATTTGTCCAAATATAGGTTTCCTGGTATATCAAATCAAACATTGAAGGCCACTATCCCCTCTAATTGGCGACAAATTTCTCAGATTAAACGAAAGCCACCTACCTCACGTCAGGAATCAACTAATAGATTCATGTGCCACACGTTTATGTACATATCAAACTGTATTACCAAGACTCAACATTTGGACATGTGGTTCAGTACAGAGAATGTGAATTTGCTGAATACATGTGTTGCTCACAAGACTCTTTGGTGTTGACTTAGAGTTATTCTGTCCGCATAGATGGCTGATAGTACTCGCTTTCCATTCAATATGTTGACCACTGGTTATCACCACTTGAATGGGGTCCAGTCCTGGAGAACAGAAACCGCATTAGGTATTATCAATATGCACTTCACATTTGCTAAATATGCTTTTTCAGCAAACAAATATAAATTTTTAAATTGACTTTCATGCTTTGATAAAGATGTGAGGCAAGGAACTCTTAAACAGGTTTCACTCGATGAATTTGAGTTAAGAGAATTAATATAGTCCCTATATCAGATAAATGATGCAGATAAAATTTAAAGGATATTGCAGATTGGAATATATTTAATCATAAAAAGTTTGAGAAATACCCTTGAACAGAATATGTGGTGGATATAACATGTTGAGGAACATATGGAGATGTACTACCATGTGGTTGCATCACGACATTGGTATGGTTCATATTCACCGAGGAACCGTGATCAGGTTGTAGATTTTGAGCTTCCTGATATGTGTGTTGAGTACCAAGAAATGATTGACCATAACTGCTGCTCACATTTGTTGCAGAGGAATAATAGCCAGGTTGCAGGTTTTGGATATTCTGATGAGTACTGTGAGGATCCCACGGCATTTGGGCATGACTGCTGCCCACATTCACCACTGAGAGGTCAACACCAGGTCGTGGAGGATCTTGCAGTGATTGAGTACAACTGCTGTCCGTCGTCATAGAAGAATGAAAATCAGGTGGCGGAAGTAAGACATTATGATTAAGATGTGCTTGTTGAGAATATTGTAGAGATTGATCATAACTATTTCTACTACCCACAGTCACTGTGGAAGAATGAAATTGAGCCCGTGTATCGGCGACATTAAGATGTTGATGTTGGGAATGTTGCAGATATTGAGCATGACTTCTATCCATAGTCATCATGGAAGAATAAAATTCAGGTTGTGAATGTAAAACATTAAGCTCTGCACGCTGAAAATTTTGCATTGACTGGGCATGGCCACTGTCGTTTCTCAGGAATGAATGAAACTCTGGTAGCACGTTAAGGAAATCCTCGTGTGCATATTGAGGATATGGCAGTGATGGAGTATACCTGCTGACCGCCCTAGTTGCATAAGCTCCCTCTGGAGTATTAGTATATGCTACTGCAAGAATCTGATTCCTTGAAGCTTGGGATGGAACAGACTGACCGGCAACATAATTGGCCCAGCCAGTAGGCTCCTCAAGTCCATTTAGATGTCTATAGCTCATCAGCTTAGGTGCGTGAGTAGGCGACATTTTAGACAAATATGAATCCCCGGAAAGTGGTGTCTGATGAAACACACCATTCCTTGGTGGAAGTTGCAACATTGAGGCAGAGTGTATTTCGTTCAAACCAGGATGTCTGGGTACAGTTGTCGGTACATCCAATGGGCGAAACATTTTTAATAGACTACTTACCTGTAACATGATAACAAAATCTAAAAAAGACAGTAGTAATATGAAAAGTTCCTTTTACTCAAAAAGAAAGGGCAGAGCAAAGAAAGGAAAAGCAGAAGATAATAGTTGCAATTAAAATCAACCTGCAATAGGTTAAAATGAAGCTTACTTGTCTAGTATTGAGTTCAGGATTAAACTTATGAGAGTGATTCTGGTAATTCTCTTTTATAGCATGTTTAAATTGATTCTCTGGCAAGGGCCAACAGTCTTGGTAAATTTTGAAACTCACCTGAACAAAATAAAAACATTGTTGACAGAGAAAATAAATACGATTATTAATATTACCCTATATAATATTTATGATACTTACAAGATACTATCAACTACAACTACTTATTTACATCATTTATAACATTCCCACTCAAGCTAAAGCATGTAAACTATATGCACCATGCTTGTTACATATATAGTATATATGAACCCATCAAAGACTTGGTGAAAACTTCTGTGTATTGATCATTTGAATCAATAAAGCTAGTGGTGATGTCTCTAGATAAAATTAAAATCTTCTTGCTAAGAAAATAACAATATCTTAACATGCTTTGATCTCTCACGAAATATTGAATCTATGTAGTTAGTAGCGCAGATAGTGTAGCGGCCAACCTCCAAAACGCTATAGTGTAGCGGTATAGCACATCGAAATCTAAGAAAATAATACAAATACTTTATACCATACACTTGTATTGGACGGGACTTTCGACAATTTGCACTTAAAATTAAATAAATGAAGCACCTTCTTCCCACGTTTCTGGTTCGGGTGATCTCTGCGATTACACCACCACAAACAATTATAGGCTTTATCTTTAACCAATCTGGGACTTGGGTTTTTCCCAATACATCCCCCCTCACGCCCAACACTATTGTAGACTTGGTGCATGGATTGGTTTTTCCAGTACATCCCCTCACGCCCAGCACTATTTGGCTTGGTGATTCACGTATTATGTAGCACATGACTGACTTGAGGCACAATCGCGATTTAATTCAGAGTATTGAATTTGATGCACGAGCAAGAGAACTTGATTATCACGAAATAGTGTCATCTTTGTGGTTCTAAGAGAGGCTTTCGCGAGTTAAGAAATTGACTAACCACGTAACAGAAAAGGGGATACATGGGTGAGTGGTTGTGAGATGATTTAGTTCGGCTACCAATGATATGCCTCTTTATTGTTCTAAGAGAGGCTTTCCCCATAATGTCTATGACATACTTGATATTCCTCGGAGTAGTTATAATATAATCCTTGGATCGTGCCACCCCTATCCCCAAGAAGTATCGAGGCTGGTTCTTGTCTTAAAATAGTGACAAAATGTTTTATTAGAGCAATATCATGATGAGCACTACCTACAATGCAATCAATATGCACACCCATATAAATACAACTTGTGGGACACTGAAGACCGAGTGATCGGCCTCACTTCAACTCATATCAGACTGCTGAGCAACGTATCTAATATTCTAAACCATACTGTGGGAGACTATTTAAGATAATATAGTCATTTGCAATAATGACAAACTGTGGGAGACTATTTACGGTAATACAGGGAAGGATTACGGGTAGACTGTAGAGTGCAATAGGAAGATCAGTATAGCAGGCCTAGGTTGGAGCACGGAGACGATGTGTAGTCAGAGAGAAGAGTCCACGAGAGGTGTAAGTGGAGGCAGTGATGCTAAGGTGGAAGTATGTGTGTTTGAGATGGAGGCTGCCGACAATGATAGACTTGGAAGGGACGAGGAATCGAGGATAAACAGGACTATCGTGAACATGGAGCACCACTGGTGGAGTATATTCCGCAAGGACATGAGGAAGAGGTAAAGTGACGGAAAAAGATTCTGGTGAGTGGTGACAAAGAAGGTCCTAAGAAAGGTAAAGGCTCGGTGAGTATCACATCAGTTGAGACTAGATACTAATGCATATTAGGTGGGTGGCAATGATATCCCTTTTGGGATCGACTATAACCCAAATAAACACATTTGAGAGATTGGGCAAACAAAAATTATTGAGACCAGAAGCAATATTGTGGAAAAAACAAGTAGACCCCAAAGATGCGAAGTAGACCCCAGATAGAGGGTGGGAACCCATTGCGAGATAACAAGCAATAAGAACAAAATTTCCCCAAAATCGGTAGGGAACATGTCCATGGATTAGGAGAGTTCAAGTTGTTTCAATAAGATGCCGTTTATGCACATCAACTTCATTTTATTGAGGGGCACAACTGTTCGAGCGCATGGCATTTGGTGAAGAATGTCATGTCAAGCTATAAAGATCTGAAATAACTGTACTCACATTGGACAATAAACTGCCAATCATCGGACCTAAACTTCAATTTGAAGAATTTTTACTGATCAACAGACACATTCAACAAAGTGAGACGGGCTTCTAATAGAAAGAAAATTAAATGAAGAACCTCCAATATATAGTACGTATTCAACTGGCAAGGAGAGACATGATGTGTCGTACCCATCCTTTGGGTTGTGTTTGAAAATCATTTGCTAAAGTAACCAGTTGTACGAACAAAAGTTTAGATAATAAGGATTTATAACCTGAGATATGAGCAGTGTCCCCAAATGGAGAAGCCAACGACTAATGGAAGGAAATTGGGATAAACAAGCAAAGGAATTACCAGTGTTGACAAAAGAGACGGTGGAACAGAAGATCTAACACTGCTAAGACCATTTCAAAAAACCAGAATAGGCAATTTGCGTGTCAGTTAGAGTTGAGAGTTGACGTTTCTCAAACCACTTCAAAAAAATAAGTCATATGTGGTTGATGTTGCAATAAAACTTGGTAGATGTTTCACATGTGGTTATAAGAAGCCATGGTATGGCCAAGCAGATAGAAAATGCACCCAAAAATGTGGTAAACAGAAACACATGCGACAGGCTAGAAGAACGGCCATCGACACTTGACAGATGTGTGACGAGGAATAACAGGCAATTTTACTATCAGAAAGCTAGTCCGGAACAACAACCAAATGCACCACCACGAGCACCACAGATTGTTAATTAGGAAATAATCTTTGCAGTTATTGTGAATAATTTACATTCATAGAATAGAAAATTAGTCATTATAAATTGTAATTAGTTATTATCAGCTGTAATTAGTTATTATGAGTTGTAATTACCGACACTATTATATATAGTATGAAAGGCAATGAGAAAGGCATCAAGCCAAATTTCATGACATGGTATCAGTAAGTTCTATCAAACCTGGAAAATATTATTATATTGGCTGATCAGCGATACCCCACTGGTTCGCTCTCGTAATCGTGTTCGTTTCGAAATTCTTTCGTTTGAAATCGAAACCTTGCAGCTGTCTGAGATTCTAAATCTTTGGTTGCCGGTTCGTGATTTCGTCTTGGAGATTCTCGTTGTTGCGCTGATATTGCAATCAATTTTTTTTTGGTTCTTGGCTGTTGTTGCTTCGTGATTCTGGATCGTCATAATCTTCTGTTTTGCCGCTCCTTCCAAATCGTGGATTTGGTCGTGCTGTTGTTCGTTGGTTCGTGGTTTCTTGTTGCTGCTCTAGTAACTGTGATTACAGTTACTGTTATTATATTATAGTTATTATTATTATTATTATAATTATTATTATAATAATAATAATAAAATAATATTAGTGAGATTGTATCTGGTGGTTTTAAATTTAGATGGCTTCCGAAAAAGAAAGAGATAATTTTTGTGTTCGTTTTACCTGCAAGAATTATTCGGCATGGGAATTTCAGTTCAAGATGTATGTTAAAGGAAAGGGATTATGGAGTCACTTAGATGATGTTTCTAAGGCACCAACGGAGAAAACTGCTTTAGATGCGTGGGAAACTAAAGATGCTCAAATTATCACTTGGATTCTAAACAGTATTGATCCTCAGATGATAAATAATTTGCGTTCTTTTTCAACTGCTCAAGAAATGTGGAATTATCTGAAGCGCATTTACAACCAGGACAATTCGGCAAAACGTTTTCAGTTGGAGTTAGACATCGCCAACTACAAACAAGGTGATTTGTCTATTCAAGAATACTATTCTGGTTTTTTGAATCTTTGGGCAGAACACTCTGCTATTATACATGCTAATGTTCCCAAGACCTCTCTTGCAGCTGTTCAAGAGGTCTACAACACAAGTAGGCGAGATCAATTCCTCATGAAGCTTCGTCTAGAATTTGAGGTTGTCAGAGGTGCTTTGCTAAATAGGAATCATGTTCCTTCTTTGGATACATGTGTTGGTGAACTTCTCAGGGAGGAACAACGTTCCTTACTCAAGGAACCATGTCTCATGATACTGTCAATTCTGAGTCTGTGGCAATTGCATATGCTGCTCAAAGTAGAAATAAAGGTCGTGATATGTAACATGTCCAATGTTTTTCTTGCAAACAGTTTGGACATATTGCTCGTAGCTGCAGTAAGAAGTTTTGTAATTATTGCAAACAACAAGGTCATATCATTTCTGACTGTCCCACGCGTCCTCCACGACCAGCACATCATTCGGTGAAGGCATTTCATGCCACTACAGGCCATACAATTGGCTCTTCCACCACTGGTGCATCAGATGGCAATGCTCTACAACCTGAAATGATTCAACACATGATACTTTCTGCCCTTTCAGCCTTGGGTATTAAGGGTAAGTCTTCTCATGTTTCTCGTCCATGGTTTATTGATTCTGGTGCATCCAATCACATGACAGGTTCATCTGAAAACTTGCACAATTTACATTCTTATCATGGTAATCAGAAAATTCAGATTGCTAATGGTAATACCTTGTCTATCACTAATGTTGGGGACATAAACTCGGATTTTCAGAATGTGCTTGTCTCACCTGGACTTGCTTCTAATTTATTGTCTGTTGGTCAATTGGTGGACAATAATTGTAATGTTAATTTTTCTCGGTCTGGTTGTCTTGTGCAGGAGCAGGTGTCGGGGAAAGTGATCGCGAAGGGGCCTAAAGTGGGAAGATTGTTTCCAATACAGTTTATTTCTAATCATTTGTCTCTTGCTTGTCATAATGTTTTGAATTCCTATGAGGATTGGCATAGAAAACTAGGTCATCCAAACTCTTCTGTTTTGTCTCATTTATGTAAAAGTGGCTTGTTGGGAAATAAAAATGTTATTCCTGATGCCTCTGTTTCATGTTCTGCTTGCAAATTGGCTAAAAGTAAAACACTTCCTTTTCCGTCTGGTGCTAATCGTGCTTCCACTTGTTTTGAGATGATTCATAGTGATGTATGGGGAATGTCTCCTGTGGTTTCTCATGCTCACTATAAATATTTTGTCACATTTATTGATGATTATAGTCGTTTTACTTGGATATATTTTCTCCGTTCTAAATCCAAAGTGTTTTCTATGTTTAAGAAATATTTGACATATGTTGAAACTCAATTTCAAGCAAGTGTTAAAATTTTTCGATCTGACTCTGGTGGTGAGTACATGTCTCATGAGTTTCAGGAATACCTTCAACAAAAAGGCATCTTGTCTCAACGGTCTTGTCCCAATACCCCTCAACAAAATGGCACGGCAGAACGTAAGAATCGTCATTTGCTTGATGTAACACGCACCTTACTTCTCCAAGCTTCTGTACCATCCCGATTTTGGGTGGAGGCTCTTTCCACGGCTGTCTTCTTGATCAATCGTATTCCTTCTACAGTTATTGATCTTGATTCTCCTTTCTTCCGTCTATTTAAAATTCATCCTGATTATAGTGTTTTACATACTTTTGGGTGTGTGTGTTTTGTTCACTTACCTCCTTTTGAAAGGCATAAGCTTGGAGCACAATCCGTTCAATGTGCATTTATGGGATATAGTAACTCTTATAAGGGATTTGTGTGTTATGATGTCTCTAACCATCGTTTTCACATTTCTAGAAATGTGACATTTTTTGATAATCAGTTTATGTTTCCCTGTGGTTCTGCCATTAATGATATTGTTACTCTTCCTAAGTTTTCTATTATGCCTCAAGCTATAGAACGTTATAAACCAGGTCATGTATATGTCAAAAAACACAGACAACAGGTTCCCACACCCCTTCCCGATGTTGAACTGCCACCTGATCCTGTACCGGTTGAACCACGACGTTCTGGTCGAATATCCCGCGCACCAAATAGATATTCACCAGACAAGTATGATTCCTCACATACTTCTCTGACTGCCACACTCTCTAGCATATCTATTCCTACTTGTTACTCACAGGCTGTTAAAGATGTGCAATGGATAAAAACAATGACTGAAGAGCTCCAAGCTCTTCAAGAGAATTTCACATGGGATATCGTCACTTGTCCTCCAAATGTAAAACCTATAGGTTGCAAATGGGTGTATTCTGTGAAACTGAATTCTGATGGGTCCCTCAATCGTTACAAGGCTCGTTTGGTTGCGTTAGGAAACAAGCAGGAATATGGAATTGATTATGATGAGACATTTGCACCGGTTGCCAAAATGACAACTGTCCGCACAATCATGTCTATAGCTGCTTCTAATGGGTGGACTCTTCATCAAATGGATGTGAAGAATGCTTTTCTTCATGGTGACCTGACAGAAGATATTTATATGACTCCACCTCAAGGCTTATTCTCTTCATCTAAAGGCGTGTGTAAGCTCAAATGCTCCTTATATGGTTTGAAACAGGCACCTCGAGCATGGTACGAGAAATTCCGCGCCACTATACTTGGATTCTCCTTTACTCAGAGTCAGTATGATTCATCTTTATTTATTCATAGCACATCTGCGGGTATTGTTCTGCTTCTTTTGTATGTTGATGATATGGTTATTACTGGTTCGGATCATGCTTCCATTCAGCGACTTAAGCAACAGTTACAGGCCTCATTTCATATGAAAGATCTGGGTAATCTACATTATTTTCTTGGTCTTGAGGTTCATTCTACATCCAAGGGCATCTTTCTCCATCAACACAAGTATGCTACAGATTTGATTTCTATGGCCGGTCTTGAATCGGCTAATCCAGTAGATACTCCTCTTGAGGTTAATGTTAAATATCATCGTGATGATGGGGATCTGTTGCCTGATCCCTTATTGTATCGACAACTTGTGGGTAGCCTCAACTACTTGACTATTACTCGCCCTGACATATCTTTTGTTGTTCAACAAGTAAGTCAATTCATGCATTCTCCTCGCCATCTTCACTTGGCTGCAGTTCGTCGTATAATTCGCTACTTAAAAGGAACCTCTCACCGCGGATTATTCTTTTCCGTTGGAACTTCTCTTCAGTTGAGTGCTTATAGTGATGCTGATTGGGCAGGGTGTCCTGATACTCGTCGATCTGTTACTGGTTAGTGTATGTTTCTTGGTTCTTCATTGATCTCTTGGAAAAGTAAGAAGCAAGCAAGAGTTTCTAAATCTTCTACTGAATTAGAGTATCGTGCCATGTCTGCTGCGTGTTCAGAAATACTTTGGCTTCGTGGTCTTTTGGCTGAACTTGGATTTCCCCAAACAGAGTCAACTTCACTTTATGCTGACAATACAAGTGCCATCCAAATTGTTGCAAATCCTGTTTTTCATGAACGCACCAAACATATCGAAGTTGATTGTCATTCAATACGTGACGCCTACGATGATCGAATAATATCACTTCCTCACGTCAGTACGCAGTTGCAGGTTGCAGATATTCTTACCAAGGCTATTCCACGCCCAAGACATCAGTTTCTTGTTAGCAAATTGATGCTCCTTGACCAGCCGCATCAATTTGAGGGGGATGTTAATTAGAAAATAATCTTTGCAGTTATTGTGAATAATTTACATTCATAGAATAGAAAATTAGTCATTATGAATTGTAATTAGTTATTATCAACTGTAATTAGTTATTATGAGTTGTAATTACCGACACTATTATATATAGTATGAAAGGCAATGAGAAAGGCATCAAGCCAAATTTCACGACACAGATGGTGTCAGCTTCCAAAAAACGCAGCAAGAAATAAAAGAGCGGCCCTGCTTGTAAAACCATCTTGGTCTGAAAATTTTAAGGGTGCAGTCTTCGACGGAGAATTACTGGGAAGCCTGAAAGGATGAAGAACACGTCGGAAAGTGGGAACACGGCGGTAGGAAGTGGAAACCAGATGAGCACGATTTTTGAAGAAAAAAATTGCACTAATAGACAGCGGGCCATTGAGTAGGCAAAGATTAGAGTTTCCTCTTAGTTGGCTAGTTGGCTTTAGATACCATATTGATAAATGAAGAATACAAGAGAGCAAGTGAAAGAATCTGTGTTACACAGCAGTGATATATTATATCCATATATGCGGAATCACATGATAAATACAAATATTATTACTACCCTATATACGGAATGTATATGAACTACCAACCACAGCTTCTTATTTACATCATTTCTACCAAACATGAAAGTAGGAAAAGAAAAAATATGGAACATTAATAGTTATAGTGCAGTTGATGTTGTCACCATCAATTTCGAGTATATAAGAGTTATGAGAGACCCTTGCTGATTAGATGCCAAAAAACTTAAGGCACTGACTAACTTGTGAAAGTAATTGACAAAACAGGGAAAAATTAGGATAAAGAAAATCAAGAAAGCCAGAGAGCAAGCCGAAGACTGCAACAATGTCAGAGGTAATACATTTGTTTTCGAAACAGTTTGAATCATCAATGGTTTAAAAGCTCACCTGAGCAGGGAACCTTCCCTGAAAAGCAAACGGTTCTATATTTAGCATCCCGGTCGAGGTTGCTAAGTATGTACCATAGAGAAGCTTCACATCAGTGTCAAACAGAAAAAGATGCATGCCAGGATTGATCCTCTCCACAACATGCTTTCTCCCTGCAGGAAGCGCAAAAACCCGATATCGATAGCACTCTGGTTTCGTCATTTTATTGCACATGAAAATAAAGCCAGAAAGTTTATCTTCAGCGTCCACGCCCACTTCTTCTGCTTCCATTGAATCACTGCAAGAGTTCAACCATTGACAATTACTTGAATATATCAAGAAACCCCTTTCATGCGGAAAATTAAAATGAGCATTTGTACGCAACAGAAACAAAGGAATCGTTATGGAAAAAGGGAAAGTGCGACATTTTAACCTAGAAGAAAAATGAGATTGGGGAAGCAGAAAGAACAGAAGGTGAAGTTGGAAGGAAGAGAGTTGAGGGACTCGTACTAAAATTATACAAATGAAAAGAAAAAGAAAAGAAAGAGACTCTTTGCGATTCATTGCCACGTGTGCGTTTAACCCCACATATGATGAGTCGTCACTATTTTTTTTAAGAAGTTGGGTACAACTTTTTGAGGTGGATAATGTATAACTTTTTTTAAATCTTAAATTATACACACACATGAAAACCTCATGCATGATGATTCATCGCTATTTTTTTTAAAATCTTAGTATCCCACACATATGAAAGTCTTAATAAAAAAGTTTGGATTTAAGAATGAGATTTCTATTATATACATGTTAAATCATGAATTAGTAATTATATTGAATTTCTAAACAAAATCCAATTTATGTATAAATTCATAGGTTTATGTTTGTGTATATAGATCATGATCTTCGATTAACAAAGATGTGTAAAAAAATTATTTGTCTCCCACTATTCTATGAGTTTCTTTCTTTTTGTGTGTGACATCACCAATTCTTTTGGTAGCATTCACTCATTTAGAATTTAATTTGAAAGTTATATTGTGATGTCGTTAATAACCAACGAATGACAATTGTATTTTTTTTGTGTGGTCACGTTGACCGATTAATCTAAGGGAGTTAAATTCACTGTCCACTTACAGGGAGTCCCGTTTAAAGCCAGAGCAAAGCTCTGTATAGACTGTCACAACACAAGAATTGTTTGTACCTGATGGAATTCAAACTTGAGACCTTGAGAGAAACACACTCTCAAAATCCAAGCTTTAACCACTAAGTTAATCCTTGGGAGTTATGACTCATCACTATTATTTTCAAATATAAAAACACATCTGGTCTCTTTTAGAAATAAATGAATAAACTATTTTAACCCCAAGGGTTGGTCTAATTGTAAAAGTTTGGGTCCTAAGAGTGTGCTTCTCTTAAGGTCTCATGTATGAATCTTAGTATGTGCTAATAATTCTTATGTTGGTCAGTTTATACAGAGCTCTACCTTTAAACATGGTCACCGCTAGTAGATGGTGGGATTAATCCTCTTGAATTAGTCGGTTTTAAGGTCGGATACCAGGATTTCAAAAAAATGAATAAATTATTTTACTATAACATTTTTCATATGAGAAAAAGAGTTTTAATTGATGTATGTCGTCTAGAGGTTTTCAAAATCGAACTAACCCAATAAAAAACCGCAAATCAAACCAAACCAAAATCGCAAAAAACCGCATTTGGTTCAGATGTCCATTTTTCAACAAAATCGTGTGGTTCAGTTTGGTTTGTCGTTTGTATTTTGCAAACCGAAATAAACCATACCAAACCGCATTATGTTACAATCCAAACTCCACTTATCCCACATCTAACCCAAATCTCAAACCTATTATGTCTTAACCTTACATTTACGGACGATTTTCTCTTACTCATACTTCAGTTTCAACCTTCTCAAATCTCTTTTAGTAGTATCATACATGTTTCTCATCTTTTCTCCATGTATGTCTCGCCTCTTCTACTTTAATCTCTCATCTCTTATGTTCTTTCTTTTTCATCTTCACATTGTTATGTTACTATTTTCTCTTCCAATTACGTTTTTATCGCATCTTTCTTGTCTAATCTCATCTCTTAAGTTTTTTATTTTTTGTCTTTTCTAATCTTTCATCTCCTATGTTTTTTTTTCTGTTTTATTATAATATTTTTGATATTGTTTTATGTTACTGTTTTTTTCACTTTTGTCTAATCTAATTTTTGTATATTGAATGAGATGTTTTTGTCTAAATATGATGAGTTCTATTGTTATTTGATAATATATTATTGCGAATTGATGTCGTCAAGGACAAACCAAAATAAGGAAAAAAGATTGAGTTTCTTGAACAAACACAAGAAACTCTATTAGGTTTCTTGAATATGATGAGTTCCTTGCAAGTGAATACCGACAATTAACCTCTCTCAACAATTTGAGAGAACTAGTTTATTTATTGACTGCTAAACTAACTTAGACTACAAGCTAACTTGACAATTAGATTTACACGCAAGGTTCAATTTGACATGTTAATTTAAATACAAAGCTAACATATTTCGACAGCATCCTATAACAGACTTCGACAATAGCATGCACAACTCTTGTCGAACCAATAAGCTACCATTATCTACACTAGAGTTCAATCCAAATACCACATGTATGAATGATTAAACATAAAGTTATGTTGTTCTTTATAGGTGTATGTATGGCTAAGTAAAAAATTCGTAAAAAGCAAACCAACTTAAACCGCATTAGTTTGATTCGGTTTTATTTCTAAAATCCAATCAAACCAAAACAAATCGCATGTTTTTGTCTCTTGCAGTTCAGATGATTTTTAGCATTAAAACCGTCCAAACCACACTGTGAACACTTCTAGTGTCGTCAATGTAAAATAGTTTTACACCGTCGTCCAATAATATGTCATTTCATCAAAGTAACTTTAAATTTTAAGTGTGATTTAATAAAATACACTTATGGTGATTGGTTGTCAGTATAATAATATTTTATATTAACGGTCTATATCCTGTTTTCTTTGAGAAAAACATATATTTTATAAAAAAGAATAACACTTACATAAACTTATTTAAAATCAATGTTAATTTTTATGAGTATGATAAGGGGCGATAAAATAAATGTATTATATTTTATTTTATTTTAGTGTTTTATATATAATTAAATAATAAAATATGATAAATTAATTTTAAAGTTTATAAAAATATTATTAGAGTATAACATAAATTGATGCTAGCAAAAGTAAGATAAAAAAATAAATTAATAATTTAACGTGATGTTTCCGACTAATATGTATTTGTTTGAAAATGTGATGCTCTTTTGAAAATTTTTCATAAAATTAACTTTTTATTATATGTATTCTATTGAGTTGTATTGGTGTTGCACCCCAAATTTTGACCCCTTAGATCTTCATCATCATTTTATGATCATATTCATTTGATTATCTAACCATAACCTATTTCAAGTTTGTCTTTGTCAAGATACAGGAATCAGAGTTTTGTACAGCCGAAATCGAGGCTTCGAGGGTTAATTAGTCAACGTTTTGGATTGGTTCTCCTTGAATTGAGTCTCCATATCATCAAATGTATTCCATTGGATCAAGTATGAATCCAATTTGAGGTTGTCACCCAAGAATTAAGAACAGTGCAGTTCAGGATACCCGATTAGGGTTTTCGATCAGGAAAAGTCAACTGTAGTTTGAATTTTGATTTAAAAGGTGTTCCAATGGTGGGATCATGGTCCATGAAGTTCCTATGGTTTAGTAAAGTCTACTAAAGAAGTTTCAAGGCCTCAAAATACCCGGAACATCAACAGTCGACTCGGTAGCCACCGATCGATCGTTCGGTTGACCGAAAAGTCAACTCTTCACTCATGAGGAATTTGACCTTAAGATGGGAATTAAAAATGGTCCTGATGACATATTACACCTACCCATGAAGTTTTGTGACCATTGGATCAAGAATTGATAAGTAATCAAAAAGTTGGGAAATTAAGGTTTTCAAAAGGGCAAAGTCATAACTCCTTAACCACACAAGGGTTTTAACCTAGTTTCAAAGGGAATGAGTTCCTAACACAAGCATAAATATTGTAGTACCTAATTGAGGATTTTAAAAAAGTACAAATGGGTTCCATAAATCTTCCTGGTTAGAGAGAACCAAGATCCACAAGTTGGCAAAAACTCACATTCGCAAAACTAGGTCAGCATGAGTTTTTTTATTCCAAAACCTCTCCAAATCGATGCTAATCAAAGACTAAACCTCATTTATGATGTTTGCATTGATAATGAACATTTTTAATATCAATTCCCACGAAAATGGCACAAAGATCAAAGGAAATCATTATTTAATGCAAGTTGCAAAAGTGAATAGTGAAGAAAGAGAAAAAAGGTGGCTACACTTGTCAAATCATCAACTTTAACTTCAACAAGTCGCATCCTAACCTATCAAGCATGATGAAAACAATATATAGGGCATGGATAATATCTTAGTAGAGTGGCTTAAAGACAAGTATGAAGATTGCATTGGAAAACTCAAAGATTTTCATGATGGAAGGTTAAAATTGGCAATTTGCTTCACTTTTGCCCATACCTTGATCCAAGGCCTTTGGCTATAAATAGAAATCACTTCCTACATCACAAACACACCAGTTCTATGCTAGAAACCATCTAGAACTCTCTCCCTTACACAATCACCAAATTCTTGCAAAATCTCACTAAGTCTCCAAAATCCCTCAAAATCTATTTTTGCAAAACACCTTCCAAAACCATTTCCAAACTTTTTCCAACTCAAGAAACACTTCAAACACATCAAATATGATGTATTGAGGCTATCAAAATCACTTCCACACTTACATAACAAAGTTTGAGTGAGTTGGTCTTTGAAATCTTTGGATTTTAGAGTTTTTCCTTCATCTACAAGGCATTTCGTCCACTAGCTTGCTTGGAGGTTGTTTGGAGCATCTATTCATCAACCTAGGAAAATTTGAAGACCTTGTAAGAGCTTTCAATATCTCTGGTTTTCTTATTGCTTAAGCTTGCTTCAAGAGGTAAACCTAAAACTCATAAATGTGAGCTTTCTACTTGCATTTCACATGCTACCATGAATGTTTTTAGGGTTTTTACCTTCCTATCTCTCATTTATTCATTTCAAAACTTTAATTTTATTCTCTTTTGAGTTTTATTTTAAAGTTATGATTTTGGCTTGTTATCATCCTTGTGTACTTGAGTTTGACTAAAACTCTTGCTTGTAAGCATTTGTGTTTGATCTTTTCTTAAAACTTAAAAGTTTTC